ATTGATTCTCTCTTATATTTAACTGCTTCACGACCAGATATTCTATTCAGTGTTTGTTTGTGTGCAAGATTTCAATCAGAACCAAAAGACTCTCATCTTACTGCAGTCAAAAGAATTATCAAATATGTTAGCACCAATCCTACACTTGGGTTGTGGTATCCTAAAGGATCAAACTTTACTCTTATTGGATATTCTGATGCTGATTATGCTGGTTGCAAAATAGACAGGAAAAGCACCTCAGGAACGTGTCAATTATTAGGACACATGCTTGTTTCATGGTATTCAAAGAAGCAACAAACAGTAGCTCTTTCAACAGTAGAAGCAGAATATGTCTCACTTGGTAGTTTTTGTGCTCAAATTCTTTGGATGAAACAACAATTGAGAGATTTCAACATCAAAGACTCAACTGTGGAGATCAAGTGTGATAATACCAGCGCCATCAATCTGACCAAAAATCCTATTCTGCACTCCAGAGCTAAGCATATTGATATTAGGCATCATTTTATCCGTGATCATATTTTAAAAGGAGATATAATTGTTCAATTTATAGACACTAAATAGCAATTAGCTCACATTTTTACAAAACCTTTAGAGAAGAAAAGCTTTGAGCTTGTTAGAGATAAATTAAACATCATTAACCCACTTTATTGAGATATGCAGAATAAACTTTCATTGCATCTGATGACTTATTTGATCAAGCATATATTTGAAGTGTCTGATTTTGGCGCGCAACTCATCTTATAAAAGGTATGTATATCTCATATATTTTAAATATCGTGATTGTTTGAAATTAGTTGCTTTGATTGATACCGTTTGAGAATTATAATCCCAAAATTTTCGGAATATAATTTCCGAAATTTCCCATAACTGTCAATTGACAGTTTCCAAAAAGGGTTTTATAAAAACCGATATATTGTACTTCTCAGTTTAAAACCTTTTTCATCTTCTCTCTCACTCTCACACTCTTTCCGAACACACATTATACTTTCTGAAACCCTAAAGATCTCTAAACACACGATTTACCCTAAAAGATCTCATCTGTCACTTCGGAAACTCAAAAATCTCTTCAATGACACCGAAATCTACCACTGAATCAAAGAAAGGAATCAAGGGTTCCAGACAACCGAACAGAATCGCGGGAATGTTCACCAGAGTAGATAAAGGTGGAGAAGCAGAGAAAATCGATATATCTGACTTGGGCTCTGAGCAGGAATCATCTGCAGGTAATAAATCTCCATGTATCCCTGTTCAAGAACGTGATAGTTTTGTTATGGCAAGACGACTAGTAAAAACCCTTAGAGTACTTCGAGAAAATCGGAGTGACCAGAGTACGGTAAATGCTGTATGTAAAACTTTAGGTTTTCTATCTGAACGTGAAGTTATGGAAGAATATGAGAAGGGTATAAGGCTTGGAAGATTGCCTATTGCTGAAAAGGGGATAGTTCTTAGAGAATCCTCTAATGTTCAGGAAACCCCTATGACCATAAAGAAAGGAGTTTCTCGAAAAGGAAAAGAGAAAGTAGGAGAACTTTCGAATGTTGAAAGAGAAGAATTCGTCGGTGAAGAGGAACGGCAGAAAAGCAAAAACATTGATAGTAGGAAGGAGGATAATGATGAAAAACTATTTGCTGAGTTTTTACCCATTTTTGGAATTCCTGCTAATGACAAGAAAAGTGATAGCTTGTTTAGAAACAAAACTCATCAAGTTGCTTACAACTCTCTTCTAGCAAGAAGAATAATGAATAACAGAGTTGTAGACTTCAGCTTCTTTGAAAATTTCAATATCAAAATTCAGTGTCTGATTGAAAATCTTAATTTTCAAAGAATGTGCTCTCTCCCTCACAAAGTCTACCCAAAGCTTATGGCTTACTTTTATTCAAATCTGTCTTTCATTTCTCCTTCTGAAATTGAGTTCTCTGTTTTTCAACAAGATTACAAGTTGTCAGCCTTTGATCTCGCTGCCATTCTAGGAGTAAAACATACAGAATTCTCTCTTATTCCTATCACTTCAAATTTGGCATATCGATGATTGTCTGGTGACTCTTCTTTCATCAGAGGCTCCACATCTCATGTATCTCACTCTCTTTTTCCTCTAAATTAAATTGTCCTGTACAAAATCATCATCAATTTTCTCAGACCCAAAGGTTCTTCCAAAACTGATGTCTCTCGCTATGAGGCCAAGTTGATTTGGGCAATTCAAACCTCCTTTCCTATTTCTCTGTCACATATGATTCTCCTTCAAATGTATAGAACTGTTAAGAAGAGTAAATGTCAACTCCCTTATGGAGCTTTGATCACCGCCATCTTTGAGTATTTGAAAATCTCCATACCAGCAAAACTCAAAGGTAAACCTCTTCAAATTATGACAGTTGGAGAACTAATGATGACTAAGATGGGATACAGATTTGATGGTGAAAATTGGAAGGATAAGAAGGGTAAGATCATTCTTGCAGAAGTGATGAATGCACAAAACAAGGGCTCTATTAACATTTTTCATGATTCTGATGAGGAGGAATCAATTGAACCCTTAGTAAGAAAGAGAAAAGTGCAGCCGACAGCCTCCAGAACTGACAAACCAGCCAAAAGAACTCAAGCCGTGGTCAGTGATTCTAATGAGATGCAGATATCCAATGACAAATCTGCTGAACAGTCTCAAGCTGATGAACGAAGCCTTGAGGAGTCAAGGCTTATGCAATGGCTAACCATTCAAAATGCCAAGTACAAAGCCCGTGCAGACAGACATGCTGTCACTCAGCTTGAAATTTAGAGACTGTGAGAAGAGGACGAATATTTGATGAATTCACTTAGTGACATTATCAACAAAGTAGTCATGGAAAATCAGCAAGAGAAAATGGCCACTGCTGAGAAAGAGACTGATAAAGAACCCTCTAGAAGACAGGGGGAGTTTGAACATGAAGAAGAAATGCATAAGGAATTTGAGCAAGAAAATGCTCAGAATGATGAGGAAAATAACATTAATCTAGAAGAAATGCAGGCGGAGTTTGAAGACGACTATGCTCCAGATGTTGCGGACAATGACCACAATCAGAATGCACAAGAAGCAGCTCCTTCAGCAGCAACTTCTGCAGACTTTCCTCTTGAAGGCAATAACTGTGAAAACAGTCCATCTAAAGCTCAACCAAGAGGCAAAGGGAAGGAAGCAGCATCTGTTGACATTCAGCACACTCATACTCCTTCTGGATACAACATCTCCCCATCCATGTCAGACCATGCAGCCATTACAGATCTAAGATGGAGATAAGCTGCAGTTTAGAATGAAGTTCGAGAACTCCGCAATGAACTCAAAGAAGGAATTCAGGAGATCAAGGACTTGATGGCAGCCAAATTCAACAATTTGAAGGCTCAAGTTAGAACTGACGTACAAATTGCAGAAATTAACACTACAGGCTGGATTCATCAACTCTCATAACATATTGAGCAACGATTAAACTAAATTTCTAGTTTCCATCTTGTCCAAATGCATTTCCTATCTGCACCATTTGGAACTTCTTCATTTGAACCCGCATGACCCTTAGTCCCTTTAGAAAATCCGCAAAATTGATTACATATCTTTCTTCCTTATCATTCCTAAATTATTTTTGTTATGTGTTTGACTTGGTGTGAACTCTGAATATTGACTTATGATTCTACATTGGCTGTCTGATTTTTGTTTATGATGTGAACTTTGTCTATCAACTTTGAATACTGATCTCTTATTGCATTTTTATTGATGTTTATCCTTTTTGCTGATGTCAAAAAGGGGGAGAAGTATTATAAAGGATGGATGTGATGTGAATGCAAGTTATGTGAATATGAAGTATGGGAGCGGCAGAATATGAATATGAACTACTATATTTCAGAGTATATGTTTCGAAAGTTATATCATCTAAATAGACTATATTTTGTGTTTACATCACATATAGATAGTTTTGTCATCATCAAAAAAGGGGAGAATGTTGAGCAAAATCCCTAATGAGTTTTGAGGAATGACAAAACAATCTATTACTGACCAGAATTACACTTAAGTTATTTGATGCAGGTAAATACTAAATCATCAAAGGACTTTGTCATTAGACTCAAAATTACTCGTCATACTCAATGAGTGTTATTTATGGCAAGTTTATGCAGGATAATTAAATTGATATTTTAAGATATCCTAATTAGTAATCACAAGATCGTTCCTCAAATACGAAGAACTATACTTATGGAAACTTTGATTTGATTATATGGGCGATCAAATCACTCGGAGATGATGGTTATTCTTCTAACGGTTATACATCCTATTTTGGGAAGAATCTCCAACGGGTTGATTTGGAGATCAATCCTCTGAAGACTGTCCAACGCATAGATTGGAGGTAGAGAAGTATAAAAGGAGTGCAAACGTTGTACAAGAAAAAGAAGAAGAACCAGAATCGAGAATTTCAAAGTCTGAATAGAGCTTCGATCTTACACACTTGTAATTACTGTTTTTCACGTTGTAGAAAGAAAATTACTTGAGTAAAGAGTGTACGTGATAGTGTGGTCTATCATCTGAGAAACACTATTATTGTAATCTTCTGGTGATTTAATAGTGAAACACAGCCAACAGGCTGTCAGCGTAGAGAGTGGACGTAGGCTTGATAAAGCCGAACCACTATAAAGATCTGTGTACAGTATTCTCTATCCCTAAACTTTTATTTATTGTTACTGACATTATACTGCATACATATCTGTCAAACAAATTCATCAGAACATCGTCTTAGTTATTAGACGCAATCATCTGACGACAATTTATAAGTTTGTCATAAGCATCTATCTGATATTAATCATACGAGTTGTTGACCTCGACTATATTCATTCCGCACGTTTAAATCATACAATTTGGTAAAATCACCTATTCACCCCCTCTAGGTGATAGCCCTAACACATTCAAATTGGTTTTTCCCTTCGTTCTGGGTTATGAATATGACATGTTTAGAACTTCGAAGGTACTATTCCTTACTACGTCATGTTTGTTTCAGTTCTACGACATTTTTGAGACTCGAAAAGGACAGTGCCAAACGTTTATACGGGAAAGATTGAAGTATATGAATTGAATATTGATAGAGGACATTACTTAGGCGAGTATTCTCCATTATAATTGTAGCTGTTTTGAGCATCAACTTGCATTGTGAATGTGAAGAATCCTAGTCTAGGATTTCATCATGTGACCGATTCGTCATGGACATATCTGAGCAGTAAACAAGAGGATTATCCGTGTGTGCAGTTACTTGAGATGTTAGCTGAGGACTTTGGTGGTCGGGTGGAGCTCGGGAAAGCTTATTACAAAGCGCTGACCGCTTCCGTGAGGAAGAATTTCAAGGGGAAGGGCGTCATTGCGAGCATGGAGCATTGCAATGACTTCATGTTCTTGGGGACAGAGACCATCTCTCTTGGACATGTCGGTACGTCGCTCACATTGAACTCAACCAGATTCTGAATATCCTCGTGCTGGAAAATTTTGGAGTGGTTTTGATTCAAAGTTTGTGATATTTGCTCTGTTCTGCGATTAATTTCAGGAAGTTGTTCGTTTATTACGGGCGACGATTTCTGGTGCACCGACCCATCCGGCGATCTGATGGCATCCTTTTGGCTCCAAGGGTGCCATATGGTGCATTGTCCCTACAATAGCCTGTGGATAGGGAACTTCATGCGCCCTGACTGGGACATGTTCCAATCCACTCACCCTTGTGCCGATTTCCACGCCGCTTCTCGGGCCATCTCTGGAGGACCTGTGTATGTGAGTGATCAGGTGGGACAGCACAACTTCAAATTGCTGAGAAGCCTGGTTTTGCCTGATGGGTCCATCTTGAGATGCCAGTACCATGCGCTTCCAACCCGAGACCGCCTCTTCGATGACCCGGTGCATGATGGGAAGACCATGCTCAAGGTTTGGAATGTTAACAAAGTAAGTTAGTTGTGTAGCCGATCCCCGAATCTTATCCTGTTTTACCAGCTGAGATAACGATGAATCATGTGAAGTGTTTCAACCAAACTGAATGAAATTCTCTTCTGCTGTGAATAGTATCCAGGTGTTGTAGGACTCTTCAACTGTCAAGGAGGGGGATGGTGCGGCCGAGCACGGACCAATAAGTCTCATTCCTAGTTCTCAAGGAAGATAACTTGCACCGCGAGTCCCAAGGATGTAGAATGGAAGAATGCAAATCCGCCAATGTCTGTCAAAGACGCGGATGTCTTCACCTTGTTCTTGTTCCAGCAAAAGAGGCTTGGGCTCCTAGAGCCCTCGAGGAAGCTAGATTTTACTCTCCAGCCATTCGACTATGAGCTCCACACGGTGTCTACGGTGACCGTCCTCCCAACAAAACCAGTCCAGTTTGCACCCATTGGGCTGGTGGACATGCTCAACACTGGCGGGGCTGTTCAGTCATTGGAGTTTCACAAAGAAGAGAGCATGGTGAGAGTTGGGGTGAGAGGGTGCGGAGAGATGAGGGTGTTTCCATCAGAGAGGCCAAAGGCTTGCAAGATGGATGGTGTGGATGCAAAGTTTGGCTATGGACCAGACATGATGGTCTCCATTCAAGTCCCATGGCCTGGTTCGTCCAAATTGACTGTGATTGAGTACTCATTTTGACTCCCCAGTGATTTTCTAGTCCCCCTAACTTTTCTTTACCTAATCGGTTTATTTAGTCAATGAAGGTGAAGAAATTCTGGGCCCCTTGTGTGCAGAAGTAAGCTGTATGAAAAACTTGGTGAAATGTGAACCTATATTTCATATAACCTTTCAACTGGTCATAATCTAGCTTAGCTTCTTGCAGTACAAGCTGCGTGCGATTGTGGTTTTATTTTCTTCTTTCAAGTATAAGCATGCTTTTCTCCAGCATGTCATTGAGGCGAATATAGAGAGATTCTAAGTCAAAACTCATTAACATATCTAACAAGACCCCCATTCATTCAAAAACATTAGTTAAATATTATCGACGGATCTACCCCATATGCAGAATTCCACTAATGTCTTTTCGCTTTTCATTCTCACACGCGCGCCCCAAGCGAACACAAGCATTGGTGTGGATGTTTCTAGCCGTGTTCTTGTTCCAACAAAAGAGGCTGGACTCCTAATGCCCTTAGGGAAGCTAGAACATCACGCTCCAGCCATTTGATTGGTGGACAAGTTCAACATAGGTGGACCTATCTGTCATTTGGAGTTTGACAAAGGAAGAGAGTTTGGAGAGAGTTGGAATGAGAGGGACTGTGGAGAGATGATGGGGTTTTGCATCAGAGAGAGGCCGAAAAAAGGCCTGCAAGATTGATTTGTGTACTGTTTAAATGACTCGTTTGGCTATTGGATTAGCAGACACAATGGCCTCCCCTCCATTCAAGCCTGGTTCTTCCATGATTGAGTACTCATTTGACTTCAGAGGGAGGGCCATGGTCCACTCCCGCCTCGATCTTTACCTAAATATCGTTTAGCAATTGATGGGGGTGAAGAAATTTGGGTCCTTTACTGTCCTTGATGTCCCCTTCCTTTTCCTGGCCAAAAAGGAAAAAAAGATGCCAAGTTTGAGAAAGGATGGAAAAACATGGTGGAATGATAGTTGGGTGGAATTCATAGGGTCAAAACAGAGGTTTTAGTTCATCAGTAAACAACCTTGTCAAAACAGGAGCAAATTGCATTCTTGGCAGTGTTTATTTCTTGGGTCGAAATGAATGTCCTAGCATGCTTCGACAGCAATACGTGCTTCGTGAGCCTACTTCCAACGTGAAGATCCACTCTTAGTAGTAGTAAACTAGTGTTACGGACCGTGATTCTCCCGTACTTGTACCCTTGTGAGTAGAACTCGGTGACGTTGGGTGAAGAGTGGGTGATGGAGAGGGGAGGATACAATTGATTTGTGAGAGTAGCGTCAGGGTGGTTTGTGTTAGGAGTTCTAGGTTAGATGAATATACCCTTAGGCTGCGTTTGATCGTCTGGATTTTTAGTCGGGATATGACTGGATTGGATAAGATATGAAATCCAAGGGATTTGCTATATCCCATCTATTGTTTGGTGAATCACAGTAATAAAGCCGAATTTTTTCACATCTTACCATGTCCATTATTTGCTATGAACATCATATCAATGTAAATGAACTTAAAGTTTGCACAAATGGAGATGATAAAATCTCTCCGGACACTCTTACTTACTTCATTTTTTTTGCTTATTTTTTATTGTTATTTTCCCTCTCTTTTTTAATTCTTTTTTCTCCTTCCATAATTCTCTAATAAAATTTTATTAAAATTTAAAATATACTAATGTACCTAAAATATGTAATAAAAATACACATACTAAATGTATTTATTTATATATATGAAATTTATATCATAAGATATAAAAAAAATTGGAATATATAAATAAATATAAGAATAAATAAAAATGAAATTATTGTTATTTATTTGTTATTTTGAATTTTATATATTAAAATTGAAATTTTATTTATTTTCAAATATTCTTTTAATTTTGTGAATTTAACAAGTTTGTTATTTGAGAAAAATAACTTTTTTATTATGGATATTAGAAATCCCATCCACATTTATCCCACTTCTCTCATAGGATAATTTTATCCGGCTTATATCCCTCATAGATCTAATTTTATCCTATATTATGCAGGCACCAAACACGTAATAGGATAAAACTTATCTTATCCTGAATTTTATTCCGACTTCCAAACGTAGCCTAGGAACTTTGAAGGTGGAGTTGGCCTCTTGTACATAAACTGGTTGGGAGCTGATGCTAAACTCCTGATAAGGTTATGATAGGCCGAAATCAGTTGTTGTGTTTAGAGTGTACCGCGTGTCTCGCTCGAAAGACTGGATGCCCAAGCTAAACTGGACGCGATACGATCTAATACGAGAATGCTATTCGCTGTACCGTTTTTAGGAACAATTATATAAAAAAGGCTGGCTTGGGATCTACTCGACTTGTCAGGCGCTGCACGGACTATTATGCGGTCAAGGATACGCCGGTCGGCAACACTAGACTCTTGACTGCTCAAGCCGAAACTCTTGACTTTTATGGGCGTTCGGATGTTGGAATACACGGGACCATGATGGCCACAAATCATGTGACTTTTGGCCTGGTAGGGGACCCCCTACTGCCATTGAAAGGTCCACTATCTCACCATTTCACCACCAACTTGAACCGATGATAACTGGGAAAGGACCATGTTCATTATTGGGATGTGGATTTCGACCCACGCCACCATAACTATTTTGTTCCTAGACTTCTATACACAAGGACCATTCTAGCTCCGACGATGATGACGGCGGCCACGACGTCGACCCGCCTTAACTGCAGCTGCCCCTTTGTGAATTCCCATCAAGCAAAGCTCATCCGACTCTAACTCGAAGACCTGATACCTATACTCCTGTCGATTGACTATGGCAGTAGTCAAGTTCAGCCGCGAAAAAAAGAAGAAAAGAAAAGCCAAATTCATCCCCGAGTCGAGATAGCCGCATGATGTTCGAATTAGCTGTCTGAGTACCCCGAGTCTTTGAACTTTCGGGCGAGCCAAGTCGAGTTCGAATTAGCCGAATCAACCATGTCATTGTTAAGGATGATGGCTTGAATCAACTATGTCATTGACCGCATGATGTTGGTTTTTGAATGTTTTGTTTTTTTTTTTCTCTCTCGTTCTGGAGACGATGATGATGATGACCGAACTGTCAAATGATGGTCCCCGGAACTTTGGCAGTGTGGCCTGAGCTCAGCAGAGCCTTTTTCAGAGTGCAGATTTTGTGGACCAGTCACGACCACCCACTCACCCCACCCTCTCCTCTGCTCCTCCTCCTCCTCCTCTGATTGAGGCTATTGTCTAGTCACCTTCCCTTGTAATGGGACAATTGGAATTAATTCCCCAACATCTTTTTTTATATTCCACCCCCCCACCATGACACGTGCATGTCACGTGGACCCCCCCAACCACAAAGGTGGAAACCGTGGAATGGAATGAGACTTCGGTCAAGGTGGGGTCCGAGTAAGGAGAAAATTAGGGTTTAGTCAACAGTGGGGGCACATTGTATTGTGCTCTCATGCACTAATAATTGTTAATTAAGGCAAGCTGATCATAGTTTAGTTGTCGCAAAGTAATCATTGATACCCCCGGGTTCCTATTCGTTTTCGCCACTCACCAAGTCAACCCATTAATCTAATCGAATTCTTGATGCTCCAATACCTAAACGTGTCGCCGGTCGTCCTTAACACACGTGGATTGTGCTCACGATCGTTTTAGGGAATATCCGACGAGGAAGGTTTTGGTTGTGCTCACGATCGTTTTACTCGATAACTTCCATTGTCTTAAATGTTGAGAAAATTAGGAAACCTTTCGGCAATTTCCTAGGAACCGTGCTTTTTGGTATTTTACCTGTTTTTGGCCTGGAAAAAATATTCACGTGAGAAAATCTTCGTCAGCACAATCAGCCTTTTCATTGCATACTTTTCGACATTCATTTCTATGTTATAACAGGAGTTCTAAATTTTCACATTTTGTCCGTTTCAAGTCGCATCGATCACTCACTTGTTCGGAAAAAGGCCGATCTGACAGTATGTAGAAAGAGTCAACGTCGTCGGAGCAATACCATCGTTAGAATAACGTCGCACTACCGGATAGCCACGACATTAAATTGAGCATCGTGAGAAAGGTTTGAAATTTTGCCATCGTGATTATCTCCATTCATATATACATTTTGCATAATTGCCAAAAAAAAAAAAAAGAGAGAGAGAAAAGGAAAGAAAAAAAAAATGGGAGAGTGATTGGGGAAAAAGCGATGGAAACCCACTAGCGGGGGGAGTGGCAGCGACTCGCAATAAATTTTTCCTTTAAAGACGGAGAGAGAGAGAGAGAAGACGAAAGGTCTCACCTTTATAGCAGGCAATTACGAAAGGCGGAAACTTTCTTCCTTCTTCCTCCGCACACGACCACCTTTGATCCTCCCCTCGCGTCCGTACAACAATGGCTGCTCCCGTCGCATTCCCCTCCCCCGCTCCGTCGCTCCTCCGCCGGCGCCGCCGCGGGTCCCCCTCCTCGAAGGGTGTGTTGGGTCGCTTGATTCTTTGAAGCGCGCCGGCGGCGAAATCTGTTTCCTTCCGTCCTCGCGGGGCGAGTTTTTTCCGGGTCGGAACCGGCGCGGTGGCCGCGCCGCGCGAACGGTGAAGGGGGCCCTCGACGAAGCTGGGCTGAGCTGAGCTGAGCTTTTTCCCTTTCCCTTTCTTGGTTTTCGTAAGCTCTCCATGAGCGAACAGCTCCTCTCGTCGTCTTAGCGTTTCTCGTCGCGCATTCCCTTCTCAGCTTCGAGGGGTATCTCTGCTCTCGCGTGCCGCTGGAGGGTGAGTTGTTCTCGTTTGAATGGGCGGCTTGTGGGTGTGTGTGTGGGTGTGTTTTTTCTCTGTTGGACTGTCGAGGTGTTTACTTCGGCAGACGAGTGCTTTTGCTTTTTGCCTTGATTTTTTTTTTTTGCGGCGGTAGAACACTACATGCAAGGATGATGGAGTGAGTGACTGCTGGTGGTGTATTTTTTTGTCTCTCTTCGTGTCGTTTTCATGTATGGTTGGTTGGTGGTAGAAGGAATTTGTAGCGATAGAGACGCTGGTGCTGATATGAGTAAAGCATGACGATGACTGGGTGTGGATGAGTTGCCTTTGCCTGTGTGGGTTCTTTGGAGGTGCCTTTATGGAAAAGGCTTTTGCATACTCACTGTTCCCGAACGATGTTCTCAAAAGTTCGAATTGTCGGGAGACGAAGTAGCTTTCCTCTAATGTTTGGAACCGCATCGACTGAGCAATTGGAGAGCAGGAGCGTAGTGATAGGAGAAACATGCCCGTTAGGAAAAGGAGAAATTTTGGGAGTTGAACTTGCACCCCCGAGCTCTCAGATGATGTTAAGTAACTTAACGGTCTCCGCAGGAGTTTTAAGTGTTAGAAAATGGATTCACTTTGGCAGTCAAAAGGATAATATTTGCACAATAGTTAACTTTTGGTACTAAACATGGATAATCTCTTTCCGTCTCTCCTTTTCTCCCTCAATTGTACTGTTTGTGACAAAGAAGCTGGCTTGCGTAGTTTGATTATTGATTCTCTGTTTGGTAAATGGAAGTTTATGCGAACTTTTGGAGGAGTCATCTGTCATCATGCAGTTAAGGTGCTGGTTCCTAGTTCTACAGTAGATTTTTCTATAATACGGTAGGAATGTATGCTCTAATTTTCAAGTTTCATTGTACTGGCGGTACTTTGTTTTATGGCCCTCATAACCAACAAAGATACACAAGTTCACTGAAGTACAAGACGCCACGCATTTATATGTGGCCTGTTCTTTCCAAATCTGTTCTACCACTCTTCAGTCGTATGCTAAGGCCCACCTCTCTCCATACATAAAGTGCCAAGACCTTTTGTTGAGATTACTCCTGAACTTTTTTGTCTATAGTCAAGTCATTGCCGACGGGCTATCTCATCTGAAGCGCACTTCACTGGTTCTATGGATAAGGCGGAAGCGGAGCATCCTTGGCTCAGCATTTATGTGCTTGGGGCTCGGTTCCATAATAGAACTTTGCTAACTCAAAGTGCCTCACCTCGAGAATGTATTTTTTTGCTAATCACTGGCCCTTTTTATCATGGTGTTGAGTGCCAAACTAGTTTTTGGAGTACACCTGTAAGATACTTTTAAGCAGTGCATATTTATATCCCAGTATGTTTGGAAATGGTAATGTAGAATCATTTTATAAGCATAAAGCTTTTTGACTCCTTTGAACTTCTAAAGACGGACTATGAATCATGCCCTTGCTCTTCGCTTCATCTGAGAAGATTGCATCCGTTAACTGTTTCTTTTATTCTTTGCCAGCATCCACTATCTGTCGAGCAGCCTATGAACTGCCAGCCTCTGTAACTTTTTGCATAATTTGATGAAGATCGCATCCATAAACCTTTTTCCTTTTCCCAGCATCTATTTACTGTTTCTTTCTTACTTCATTTCCTTCTGTCTATGAGCACTTGATACTGCATTTTCTGCTTAGTTCAGTTAGTAATACTCTCATTTCCATGTTCTTGGTTTTAGATCTCGTTTCTCAAGCGAAATGGCGAATCTTCGGTCTCTGTTTTCACCAAGACACATGTTAGTGCTTTCTGTTGCACTTAATGTGAGCTTAGTGCTCAAAATTATTCAACAGAGAAAGAATAGAAGAGAGAAAGTAAGTGGAATTTATGTGGAGAAGCCAAAAGATGCTCAGATTGCTGAAGAGTCCCAAATTGAAGCCAGTTCCATTCAAAACATGCACCCAACACCTTCACCAATGGCTGTAAATGGGGAAGATGCAGATGACGGGAGAAATGTGATCAATCTTGACCAGTAAGCCTAAACTGTTCTTTTTCTTGACATACTGAGATGTGCTAGTCATAAGATCCCTCAATGCTTAATAAATACCTCTGCAAGGAGGTCTAATAATATTATGGACCAATAAATTTACTGCTTGTCACAAATTGATAGCCTTCGCTATAGAGCTTTTTCTTCTTGCATCACTCCTCTTCTAGTTGTGTTTGTTCTATGTCCTCGTAAGTTAAAAAGGCAAGCCATTTTTTGTGGACATATTATATAAAAGTACATGCCACAGGTCTCATGGTTCTATGTTCAATATTCCTTCATGCAGCGGTGATCCTACAATGTATGAGAGATATTGGCAAGAAATGGGTGACAAAACCACAGTGGTGATACCAGGCTGGCAGTTCACCAGTTACTTCTCAGACGCTGGGAACCTCTGCTGGTTTTTGGAGCCTGAGCTTGCCAAGGAGATTGCTCGTCTCCATAAAGTGGTTGGTAATGCTATAACAGAGGGTCGTTACATTGTGGTTGGAACGGGTTCTTCACAGCTGTTTCAAGCTGCTTTATATGCTTTCACAGCAAATAATGCATCTGAGCCCTTTAGTGTGGTGTCCGCGGCTCCATATTACTCAGTAAGTGTCACGTCAGTAGTTGATGATATAGAATCATTTAGCCAAAGATAGAAATTGAAGCCATTTTTATGTACAATATGTTCTTTGCAAAACTATTGTACGATGTGAGTAGATTTTATTTGATACGTGAGTAATCGTGATAGTAAAAGTGATGCTCTTGACATACTTGTTGGCCGTAGAAGCTTGATTTCTGATTAATGCCTATAAGTTCATAAAACTTAAGTCTTTTAGTGTGTTAGTTTTCAAAGTATGCAATTATACTTTTGGAAATATACTGTGTTGCTTACTATTCAAATGACAATACTTGCAGTCATACCCAGCCGCAACTGACTGCCTGAAGTCAGGCCTGTATAAATGGGGCGGGGATGCACACAACTTCACCAAGACAGGCCCCTACATTGAACTGGTCACTTCTCCGAATAATCCAGATGGCTTTGTCAGGCAGTCAGTAGTCAATCGAAGTGGGGGAATATTGGTGCATGACCTTGCTTACTACTGGCCACAGTATACTCCCATAACATCGGCTGCTGATTATGAGCTGATGTTGTTCACTGTCTCAAAATCAACAGGCCATGCTGGGATGCGCATCGGGTAAGATAATCAGTAAGTGCGACAATATTTTCAAATGATTTCTTATTGGTTGTAAACTCAAGAGTACTCCCCCGAGTGTGGCAATCCCCAATCTTGTCTACACTGGTAATTAGAGTCACACAACCGTGGGGTTCCTCTGGTTGGCCTCAAGGAATTGCTTTGATGTGGAATCAAACTCAAAACCTCTTGCTTCATTAGACGGAAGGCACAAGCACTTTATGATGCACCAAACCACAAGGGGTTCACAGTGTCTTCAAGCAATCTATTGTTCAACTTCAAAATTAATTTTATATAGTCATTATTGTACACTGGGCATGATTATTCACCATCGGTATCATCATGTCGAGTTCCTCTTTGGTCCAGTACAACTGCAGCTATACAGTACTTAATCATCCCATAACATCATAGCTGTGACAATTAGTGGAATTCCATGTTCTCAAATTATCAGAAAGATTCTCCGATAAAAGCTGCTTTTGCAATTGGGGAGTAGTTATTCACTCTACATATAACAGAAAGTAATCTAACGGATTGAAGCTAGACCAATGGTTTAACGCTAAGGTACTTGGTCATACTTCAAACACATGAAGTTTATTATTTACCCGGAGCTGCCATAGTTTGTGTCTAGTTCCATTTACCAAACTTTCAACATCTGAGGAAGTGGAAAATGCATGTAGGCGAACACTGAACAAGATGTCTAGGCATTTTCGTGTCTCTAATTATGCCCATTTCAACATTTTGCAGTTGGGCCCTTGTCAAGGATCCGTCAATTGCCGAGAAGATGGTCAAATACATAGAGCTCAGCACCATAGGCGTGTCCAAGGATTCACAGCTTCGGGCAGCAAAGGTGTTGAAAGTTGTTTCTGACAGTTGTGGAACAGCAGCCAGACCCAGAGAAAACTTCTTTGGGTATTGCCACCAACTCATGGCAGAGAGGTGGAAGCTACTGAGAGAGGCAGTGAAACAAAGCGGAATCTTCAGTCTGCCTGAATTTGAACCAGGATTCTGCAACTTTTTCCAGTGTCTCTTCGAGCCTCTACCAGGTACATAGAACTTTGAAGCTGTAATGAGAGGCACCATGCCATTTATAATGAATTCTTGGTATATTTTCTTGTGGCTTGATATCTTATGCCCCCTGTGCAGCTTTTGCATGGTTGAAATGTGAAGACGGTATAGAAGATTGTGAAAGCTTTCTTAAAAGCCATAACATCTGGACGAGGAGCGGGAGGCATTTTGGGGTTAGCCCTTCATATGTCCGAGTAAGCATGTTGGACCGTGATAGAACTTTTGGCTGTTTCGTGAAAAGGTTATCGCAGATCCGTCTGTGATAATTATTAGTAGGAGCAAAATCTTTTGTACATCAAATGCCTCCCCCCACGTCTGCAGCTAGGATTCTTGTCCCATTTATTCCAATTTTATTTAGATCCACTCACACCAAGCACGAGAGGGAAGTGATTTTATTTGATTTATCCCTCTAATCCATCCTAGGCATGTGATACCATCTGTACCAAGATCCATCTGTGCTAGTCATGAGTATGGGCAACTACTCGTGTACACTAGATCGGTAGATCCATCTGTATTGTGAAGAAACGGCGAGGATTCTATACTCTGTAATCAAATCCGTTGTACATGTAAGCATATTTCTTCCTGAAGTATCTTTGGTTCAATTAAGTTAACTGATGAACTCTATGTTGTGGATGGTGGCATCAGTGGGCCATTCACAGTCAAGTGTACTCTGACTTGTGCATATTTTACAGCTAGCTCCTCTCAACAAGATCTGACATTCTCTAGCTTGCTGGGTTCAAGAACTGTTAATGTATTTTAAAGGAGTGACATTCTATATAATCTGCAATACCACGAGAAAGTCTCGCTTGCTACTTGATGACGAAGGGAGGCAGAACGAGGGAAATGATCATTGCACATTGAATCTTATACCAGTCCAGCATCACGTGTTCTAATTTGCAGTTTCATGCCAAGTATCAAAGGGACAAAAAGAGACGTTATAAATATTCACAATCCGTCGGTTGTAACCATTCGCCTTCACAGAAATCATGACAGTCGAGCTGTGTGTGAGAGCTCATAGTCTCCTTCCACTTCAAACAACGAAATCATAACTCGTGCGAGGATCAAACTGGATAAGTGCATCTCCTTTGTTTCCAATTTGGATAAGTCAAGATGAACACCAAAGAAACTCGCTGAAATTGGCACTGAGCGAGGGGCGACAAAGGCATTTAGAGTCGATTCCTGGCCGTTGCCTCGAGTGCTCTCGTTCATCTTCCGTTCAACAACCCGCTGAAGACTCGGTCATTCCCTCCAAGTGATGCTTCCCACTCCATTGAGGACGTTAAAATGTGAGAGAGTTCATGAACAATTTCTCTCATTTCCGGTCTGTTGATAGCATCATCATTCAGACATCGCCACGCTAAATCCGCCATCTGCCAGGCAAACACAAAAATAGCAGGAACATCAGTTTATTGTTCATTTTTTTTTTTGGGCTCGGTGGCGGGAACACTAGATTGACTCTTCAGTTCATGTCCTGTGACTTTATCAATTGTAAGCTTTTTGTACGGATAAAGTTTCGCATAGAGTAGTTTCGTATCGAAGAAATGTTACTCATTTGGTGTTCTGAGATACAGAGCAATCAGTACGTACATATGGATGGACCTGTCCTGATATGGCAGACATGCTAATCACTGTAGAACTCATCACATGGATATGGAACATAATAAATCAAGCATGCTGATGCAATTCCACTGACCTTAAAAACCTCCTCAAAGGGGTAACTCCCTCTCAAGTTACAATCTATGATTGCTTCCAAAGCATTTTGTGGTTGTTGGCCTTCGAAAATCGTTGTCATCTGAGAAAGGTAAAGTAATTGCTGAATCCCGAGATGGGATGTTCGCAACAATTTCATGCAAATAATTTCCTTGTATGGCAACCGATTCTGACTAAGGATATATGCGCCTTATGTTTCAATTCACACGCTAATAGCATTTTGTGTCCTTACAGTTTACAGTAATTGGGAGATTCAATGACAGTATGTCGTATGTCATGTATGGAAATTGGAAAGTGCATGTAGCTAGCACTCTTGCGTGTAAGCTGCACACAAAACCAGTTACGATCACAAAATGCTGACTTACAGTTGATATTAGGGTCTTAAGCTTATTTGGGTCCCTGTCATCACGAGCTAGAGCGCGCTGACCAGTTACTATTTCTGCTAAAACCACTCCAAAAGCATAAACATCTCCTTTCGATGTCATTTGCAGCTCGCGGACAGACCTGCAGGAAGCAGTAATCCAAAAAGCATAAACCCCCATCAATTTAATCTGAAATGAAATGCATGATGTCCAAAGAACTTTGCACCATCGGTGGGCATGTTTTCTCTGTTTCCCTGGTCATAGAAAAAGAGCAAAGCACCTACTCAGGAGGAATATAACCAGGTGTGCCGACTACACGTGTTGCAAATACTTCTTGTTCATTTGATCGTTCCACCAGTCTTGCGAGTCCAAAATCAGCTACCTGCCGACACAGCCTTTAGCTATTAAATCAACATCAGATTGGGAGTTATTTATCCTAGTAGCTAAAGGCGAAGGCAGAAAGCCTGGAAGGAAACTTCATATGAAACTTCCATCGTACTCGCATCACTAAGAAGTGTTTGCTTAAACCAGTTAACCTTTACCTTTGCTCTGAGCCCCTGGTCGAGTAAAATGTTACTCGTCTTGATGTCACGATGCACGTAGCGCGCCTTGGTATGATCATGAATGTACTCGATTCCACTTGCAGCATCAAGTGCTATATTTGCTCTGGCCATCCAGGAGAGAGGTTGGAAACCTGCAAGAACTAGCAATTGAGTACCTTTAACAATTTTTTTACTCCAAGCTGAAAAAGGAGGTGGATCCATTACTATTGTGACCTTTCAGGAAAGGATCGTGAAGGTGGTCGTTCAGTGAGCCACTTGGAACATACTCATATACCAAGTATAAATGGTTGTCACTGCTTGAATATCCAAGAAGATCCACCTACAGAGCTAGAGAGATCAGTGAGATAGTAGCATGAACCTTCGCTCTTTCTTGATCACCATTTTGCATGAGAGATTTAAATCATTACCAAACTTTTCTTCTTGTTTAGCCAGTAGATGCTTACCACATTAATGTGATGTATTTTGCACAAAACTTTAAGCTCTGCAAAGAACTCCTTTGAACTGCTGGATTTCATCTTCTTAATAGCAACTTCCTGAAATTGAGATAACACATGTTTGGTCTTAGGAAAGGAAAGCAGATCATTGTTCTGGATCGAGCTCAAAGAAAACAGGTGGAGAAAAAGTAAAAGCCCGACATGTGTATCATACCCGGTCTCCTAATATGCCAAAATACACACTCCCATACCCTCCCTCTCCAATTTTTCGAGCATCATCAAAGTCTTTTGTAGCCTCATGCATATCCTCCAAGCTGTACATAACTGGTTTATCTGAATCAAATTTCACATCTGGGAGAAGAATAATAGCTTCATGTTAGTATATCAGATACTATGCATGCCTCTACTTGCCTTAAACTCATGAAAGCATCTTTCTTCACTTGTCAGAGAAATAAAATTCAAAGTGGCCCTCTGAGGAAAGACAAGCCTTTCAGTATCTTCAGCTTGCACACGAGCCTCGTCCTTTTCTGTTTAAATCAAAATTTTATCTCTAATGCCTTATCATGTCCAGTAAATCTCACTTGAACTCAGGCTATCATGAGAAATTTCCGATTTTTCAGTCACCTAACTGACCTTCAAAGTCCTTTTCGTGGAAGAGTTGCTTCAGTGGGATAGTCCTCTGGGCATCTGTGCTCTTAGTTGTTGCCCCACGATCTACTTGTCCCCCTTTGCCCCTTCTGTTTCTCCTTTGATATAACCAAAACAGTATGCTCATCGACGCTAAAGTTACCCCTGACAGGATCAGGATCACCGCTATCTCAATCCACTTCTTCATTTTCCCTGACACGTGATAACAAACCGTAAGTGGATATAAGATCTTTGAATGAAAAAAATGTTTGACACCGCTCATGATTCCATATATGTCTACTGTATAATGTCCCTGACTTGATCCCGCTTTACTTGGGTCTTAAAATACCTATAATCGTTCACTCTGTGAATGAAAATTTTATGCCTTGCTATCTTAAAATGATAACAGAAGATCACTCTTAAACATAAAGAGAAAGATCAGCTTACGTTGCTTGTGACCTCGAGTTGCTCTATTTTCCATGGGTATATACAGCACCCACCCGACATCTATATAACTTGGATCCCAAGTCAACTTTGGGTTTAGTTTCTCGACCTCACTCAAATTTGAGGATAGCAGATGTGCAATCTGTGATAGAGTGTCGTGTTCTTGAACCGTGTAAGTCACGATTTCTTGATATCCTTCTTCCACACAACCACACAAGAGATGCATAGTTACCGTATTTCCAGCATTAAATACCTCCTCACCAGTGACACTATAAGCTTGTCCACTGTACCACTCATTGTTGACTCTGGCAAATGAATCGTCTGGCTGTACTTTGTAAGAAGTATCATAGGAGTATCTATTGGTGCCATTCAGGTATCTACAAGTGCAAGGCACAGATACCAGATAATCTAGCTGAGCGCCGTGGATTATCGGTTTAATTTCTGACACGTTGACCGAGTAGAGGGATGCTATCTTTTCTACGTGAAGTCCTCTAGAGATATGGTACAAGCAAGAATTGCACGATTGCGGCGCTTCTGAACATGGGAAAGGCTGCATGAGGCTTGTCTTGCTGAACACACTTAGGGAGAGGGCAGATCTGGAGATAAAAACCAGCGAGATGAGAGACAGGAAGAATTTACTGATCAAACGAGCCATTCTTTGATGAGCATCCGGTCGGCAAATAAACAAAACGCGCCTTTGAGCCTAGAGCTGTCTTTTGCTTTGCACCTTGTTGCTTTGGCGATGACCAACGAGAACATAGGGTGCTGTAATTATGACCAATCCTTTTAAACCTGTTGAAATATCCATAAAAGAATATTCAGCTGTGCCTTTAGCCGGGTCCTTGTCTTTTCCGCCAGGTCAGTATCTTTCTGATCTTATTAAATCTGTATGTGACAAGGGCATGCTCTCTCTTAGCAATCGAACAAACTCTTACATGTGTTTAAAGAAAGTACTGAAGAAAGGGACATGCCCTTTAGTTTAAGTTCTGTTCAGGCATACTGTGGAAGGCCAAGGATGTCAAGGAGTGAGTTTGAGCACAAAAGTCCAGGTTCTGGATACTAATTAGTCAGGATTGGCAGTGATTTGATAATATGGAATGTGATCAGGTGATGCAGAATCGGAGATGGAGGTCTAATTCTGCTAGGTCCTAGCATCATGTCTCTACGTTAGTCAGCACAATCTGAGGTAGCGGCAAGCGCTCCATTCCATGAACATCTCTCTCATGCACGTCACATTTTTGCGATGATAATTTATGTATTGACATAAAAGATTCGAGCATCTGTGTCTTCATTGCTGTCTTCTAGCAGTGTGGAAGCTGGCCGTGTCTTGATGTTCATGGAAGTTTATGGGCAAAATGGGACTTTCTCAGCCTAATTTATTGTCACAAATTGCTAACTAGGCCGGCTACTCTTAACATCAAAGCTGAAGTTTAACGAAAACTTTGACGAAACTTTTGCGGGTCGCAATAAGCCAAATTTATTTTCGTTGCAGATTCAAATTGTCTGACTTACGAGCTGATTGATTAGCAGGCCATGTATATTGCTTAATGCCTCTAGTCACTTAGCTTGGCAGTTGATGTGCAAGTTGGGTAAGATCCGATAACAAGCAACTAACCCAGCGGTACATTTTCAGAATTTCCTTTCATTAAACGAGGACTAGACTAGTAGGGTCATGCTCGGCATTCAATAAGAGTCTTACATATGGAACAAATTCAGGCGACAAGTCTTTAAATACCGATTCCGTATTCTTGCATATTGCAGGTGTTTTCTTCACGATCTTGTGGGCTGGTCTTTATGATCTCTCGCTTACTCTATGTCATCTTATCTTACTCTCCATTGCAAATTTCGGAAAGTAATTTTGCCCCATTTAAGGAATTTGGGTTGGGATTTTGTTTTTAAAGAACATGAGCAATTTTGCTCAATTTTGTTAAATTGGGACAAACATTCTGATAGACAATGTCATTTAAAAGCAATTTTGCTGACTTTAACTTGCCGACGAGGCACATTGGACAGTTTATGTTAAATATTGTCACGCCGAATTTTCTAACCTCGCAAATTACCGATTAAAGTGATCGATTTTCTTTTTATCAAAGTAACACTCAAGTACACGAAAAAAAATTCATGGTGCTAAGTGAGCGCCACTCTCAGAAAATCCTTAGATCAATATTTATTTAGAGTATGATTGACGTAAAGGCCAACTGTTAAAACATTTATTATGGGCCAACTGATCCTTGACCCTGCGGAGGAGGAGGGGTCCTCCACGGGGTCGGCAGGGGAACAAACTGCGAGTGTGAGTCACTGGGATGCGGCGAGGGCAGAGATACGGTGGGACTCGCCCTCAGGCTCCGTGACTCCAGTGCTTTCCTCCATTTCTTCTTCCCAAAACCAGCATAGGAATCAAGACTAATGGCCCCCTTGAGTTTGAACCCACCACCTAATGCTTTTCTTGGGGATCCGGTCTTGCCTTCTTCGCTTCCACCTTGATTGCACGATGTAGAGAGAGCCTAGAGTGAGTCAATCAAGCTGGAGAAACAATCCTATCTTCATTATCTATACAAGGAAAACAAGACAGAGAGGAGAAAGAATCATGGTCAGATGAATCACCAGTGGCCGCTTCAGGAAGCTGTTGAGCAGGAAGCGAGGAGGCAATAGTTGGTGAAGGCAATAGATCCATTATGATGAGCAGATATGCCGCCACTACTATCACCACCCACTTTCGCCCAAAGCTCTTCTTCATCATCATCGTCGCTCCCGGACCAATCACACAACGACAGTGCCAACGAAGAGTAAAGTTCGGAAGTGAAAGGACTGGACGACTTGAATAGTCTTTTATAGCGAGATTCTGCAGCCCCGCACAAGAGATATAGTTTTGTGGGAATGCATGGCGTGGTCACAGTCGTTGACCTCTCGACTTTGCATCTACACGCAGACAGAATTATAATGTATTGAAGCCCATGTGAACTCTGGGAGGTTTCCTCGTACTTGCCCTCGAAACTACATTCTGTTTCTGGAGTCGACCAACCTTTCGTGGACTATGACTCTCCATCCCATCGTAGAATTCATCTCCCTCGTGATGACCGCCCAAGCTGAGTGCAAGTGTAGCTGTGAAGTCATCGCTATCTTGCCTAGATTGACGTGACCATGATCGTGAACGTACCTTATAATACAGCCTGCAGGCATCATCTGTAACGTTTAAGGAGACTCACGAGCGATAACTTCTTGAATGAACTGCCTACTCTTCTGAGTCTACCCCGAGAGAGATTCACTGAAACTCTTGAAAAAACAAAGGGCAAAGAAAATTGTGTGTGTGGCAGCCTGGCTGTGTCCCTATGAAGTCAACTCTTTCTCCAAATTGATGTTCAAAGGTTTGTTGCGAATGATGACTCCCAGACAAGCGTGCGAAAGATCATTTCGACTTTTGAGGACCGAACTCGGTGAAGGATCTGTGATCATGGCCATGTCAACTTGGATAACAACGAGCTTCGCCTGGTAATACATATTTTGGCCCATTCGAAAATAAACAAATTGTTGTAAAATATTGCGTTGCAAGAATATAATAGAGAGAATAGAGAGAGATTAAGTAGAGAAAGTAGATAAACACCAAAGATGGTAGAGAAAGTCAGAGGAGAAATTTTATTTTCACTGTATATTTTCCTCTTTCATTCTCTTCTTCTGTTCTGATTTCTTACACAATGACCAAAACTAAGCTCCTATTTATAAGAAAACAAGGATGCACATATCATTAATGTCAATGTATTGAATATATACATTGAATAGGGAGATGGGCATTCATACGTAGAATGTAGGTTACGAATGTGCCATAATAGGTACATTGAATATTCATTCATGTATGTAGGTTACGAATGTGCCATAATAGGTACATTGAATATAATGAATATTCATTTATGTATTTCATAACACTCCCCCTTGAATATTCATTGTATTCATGAATGTGCATTGAATGATACTGTCTCATTAAAAACCTTAAGCCGGAAAAACCCAGTGGGACAAAAACCGGACAAAAGGGAAAAAGAGTGCAATGCATAGTTCACAATATCTCCCCCTCAATTTGAGCTATATAGCCACTGCTGGGGCTAGTTAATCTTGCATCTTATGAACTCGCTGCATACCAATGCCATATACTAATTTCTCAAAAGTTGACGCTGGCAATGATTTGGTAAAAAGATCTACAAGATTATTTATGGATTGAATCTGCTTAACATCAATTTGTCGACTTTCTTGGAGTTCGTGAGTATAGAAAAATTTCGGCGAGATGCTTGGTCCTATCACCTTTGATATATCCTCCCCTAACTTGTGCAACACAAGCAGCATTATCTTCGTAAATTATAGTGGGAGAATTTGTAACCGATGTTAAGCAACAAGAATTGTGAATATGTGTTATAACGGATCTTAACCAAACACACTCTCTTCCAGCTTCATATAAAGCAATAATCTCAGAGTGGTTGGAAGATGTAGCTACTAGCGATTGTTTCGTAGAACACCAAAAAATGGCGGTGCCATTATAACAAAATAAATAACCAGTTTGAGAGCGAGCTTTATGTGGATCAGATCTCTATCCAGCATCAGAATATCCAACTAAACTAGAGGTAGTGGAATCCTTGGAATAATATAATCCCAAATCTATGGTTCCTCGGAGATAACGAAAAATATGTTTAATTCCATTCCAGTGTCTCCGAGTTGGCTCAGAACTAAAACGTGCCAATAAATTTACCGCAAAAGCGATGTCTGGTCTCGTACATTGTGCCAAGTACATCAAAGCCCCAATTGCATTGAGATATGATACTTCATGACCAAGTATCTCTTCATCAGATTCTCTAGGACGAAACTGATCCTTTTTGGGGATCTAGAGATCTTACAACCATAGGGGTGCTCAATGGGTGAGCCTTGTCCATGTTGAAGCGTTTAAGTAATCTTTCAATGTATGCTGATTGATGGACGATTATTCCATTTGCTTTATGCTCAAGCTCTAGACCAAGACAAAGTTTGGTTTTACCCAAATCTTTAACTTCAAATTCCTTTTTCAAATACTCAGCAGTTTTAGTTAACTCTTCTGGAGTTCCAATTAAATTTATATCGTCGACATAAACTGCTACAATAGCAAATCCGATTTCTGATTTCTTAATAAACACGCATGAGCAGATAGGATCATTCTTGTACCTTTCCTTAATTAGGTACTCACTTAGGCGTTGATATCACATGCGACCAGATTGCTTTAACCCGTACAAAGATCTTTGCAATTTTATTGAGAATAAGTTGCGGGGAGTGCATGCATCAGGCATTTTGAATCCCTCGAGAATTTTCATATAAATATCCGAGTCTAATGAGCCATATATATATGCCGTCACAACGTCCATAAGACGCATTTCCAATCTTTCAGAGAGTACCAGACTAATGAGAAAACGAAATGTAATCATATCCATCACAGGTGAATATGTCTCATCATAATCAATCCCAGGTCTTTGAGAGAATCCTTGGGCAACGAGTCGGGCTTTATACCTGTCAACCTCGTTTTTCTCATTTCGTTTCCGGACAAATACCCATTTATATCCAACGGGCTTTACATTATCGGGGATGCGAGTTATGGGTCCAAAAACCTCTCGTTTAGCTAGGGAAGCTAATTCAGCCTTAATTGCTTCCTCCCACTTAGACCAATCTTGCCTTTGACGGCATTCAATAATAGATTGCGGCTCACAATCATCATCCATAATTTTATGAACAACTGAGAATGCAAAAACATCATCAATGATGATTTCATTCCGATCTCAAATCTCATTACAATATATAATGGAATTCTTAGTATTTCTAGGGTTGGTGATCTTTTCATGGGTTTGTGCCTCTTCAGGGGCATTAAGCTCTTTAGGAGTAAGCACAACACCAGGCTCTTCTGGAGCGGATTCCTGATTCTTTCCCCTTCGTTTTCGAGGAACAGTGTCTTTTGATCCTATCGGTCTACCACGCTTCAAATGTGGGGGATTTTGATCCATTTTAGCTTGTCCTTCGAGAACAGCTATCCTAGCTGGAGCATTTGCAGCTGGAATATGAGACTTCGTTACCTTAGTAGCATCATTAAATGCGTCAGGAAGTCTATTGGCTATAGCCTGTAAATGGATTATGCGCTGCACCTCGTTTTCACACTCAGGAGTTTTTGGGTCTAATTGAGATAAATTTTTCTCATTCCAGGAGAAAACCTTAACCGGGTTTTTGCTTTGCAGCCATGTCAGTTTTAGGTGTCCCAATTGATGAAAACATAGTCTCATTGAAATGACAATCTGCAAATTTGGCAGTAAAAAGATCACCAGTAGTTGGTTCCAAGAACCTAATGATGGATGGTGAATTAAACCCAACATAAATGCCCAAACGGTGTTGGGGACCCATTTTCATTCTTTTTGGTGGTGCTACAGGCACCTGCACTGCACAACCAAAGGTGCGTAAATGTGAAATATCATGTTCATAACCAAGAACCATTTGAAGGGGAGATTGTAAGAGACTAGTAGTGGGGCGCAATCTTATTAGGGCTGCCGCATGCAAAACTGCATGACCCCATGCTGTATCGTTGAGATTCGTTCTCAATAATAGAGTGCGGGCAATGATTTGGATATGTTTAATCAATGATTCTGCCGATCCATTTTGAATATGAACATATGCGACCGGGTGCTCGACCTCGATTCTGAGTGAAGTACAATACGTATCAAAACTCTTTGATGTAAATTCACCAGCATTATCCATCCTTATGCTTTTAATTGGATAATCAGGGAATTGTGCCCGGAGCTTTATCATCTGCGCAAGTAAACGTGCAAAGGTGACATTGCGCGTAGATAATAGGCAAACATGGGACCATCTACAGGATGCGTCCACTAGTACCATAAAATATCGAAATGGTCCACTTGGTGGTTATATTGGTCCATAAATATCACCCTGAATTCTTTGCAGAAATAAAGGGGATTCAAGATCAACCTTTGTTATAGAAGGTTTGATAATGAGTTTTCCTTGTGAACAAGCTTCACAATTATAATCTTTGGACAACAATACTTTTGTATTCTTTAAAGGGTGCCCTTTTGTATTCTGGATTATTCTACGCATCATTGAAGCGCCAGGGTGACCAAGGCGATCATGCCATAATCCAAACTGATCAGGGTTTACCAATCTCCAGGATATGGTGGAGTAGGTTTCAACGGCCTTAATCATGACACAATACAAACCCATAGAAGAAGCTTCTAGCTTCTCATGGATGGTCTTCAGGCCCATCTTATAAGAGGTAATGCCAATATATTCTTTATTTTGTTCATAAATAGTCTCAACATAGTACCCATTACGGCGTACATCTTTGAAGCTAAGCAGATTCCTTTTTGATCTACTGCTTAGAAATGCATTCTCAATATGCAGGATGGCGCCTTTTGGTAAAACAATTGTGGCATTCCCGAAACCATCAATAATCGGAATAGGACCAGATATTGTATGGACATGTGTCTTACGCAATGTCATACTCGAGAAAAAGTGTCTACTACGAAATATGGTATGCGTTGATGCACTATCAAGCAAACAAACATCTTCCTTTTTCTCGGTGTTTTCCATTTGCATTAATGTTGACAACTTCAGGTGTCAAGTATCATAAAATTTTCATATTAGTTATAGGGTCAAATAAAATTTCAAAATAATAAATATTATATCAAGTTCATAAGCATTTCATTGCATAACCATATTAAAGAACAATAAAAGGTAATACATTTAAAGAAAAACAACTAGAAAAGAAATTATTAGAATCATAAAATTCGAAGTCTAAGATGTCATCCACCAGTCTGATGCTTCATCAAAGTAATCAGAGGTCCTCAAAGAAATCAGAGACATCCAGGGATGCATTTGCTACTTCAGGAGCAAGATGAGTCCCACCAACAGAGATATTGTTGGCCTCAACAGTGGTTATGGCAGTAGAATTAATTTCAATGGCGTGAGATTCACCACGTTTGCCCGTATTTTTTAAAGATGCCTGGCATAGATCAACAAAGTGTTTTGGCGTACGACAAGTACGTGACCAGTGCCCAGTCATGCCACAATGATGGCAAATACTTTCATTAGTCACCTTCTTTGGCTTCTTTTCTTTGTCATGATTCGGGCCAAAGTTAGATTTCCTAGGGCGGTTAAATTTTCTGCCACCCCTTCGAGGATTATATTCTTGCATGCGCTTGTAGCCCTTAAAATGGCCAGTAATTTTCTCAGAGTTAGCATGTGCTTCAGGCAATGCTTTTGAGCCAGCAGGTCTAAGATCATGATTTTTGAGCAGCAATTCATTAGTTTGCTCAGCAGTGAGGAGCACCGAAATTAATTCAGAGTATGTGGCAAATTGACGCTGCCGGTATTGCTGTTGCAATACAATATTCGAAGCATGGAAGGTAGAGAAAGTTTTCTCTAACAGTTCCGCATCAGTGAGCTTGATACCGCATAACTCAAGCCGAGAAACAATATCAAATAAAGCGGAGTTATAGTCAGACATTGATTTAAAATCTTGTAGTCTGAGATTTTGCCAGTCATATTGTGCTTGAGGAAGGATAACAGTCTTGGTATGATCATACCTATCCTTCAACCTCTTCCACAAGGTCTGAGGGTCTCGAACGGATAAATATTGAGTCTGCAGGCTCTCATGCAAATGACGACGAATAAAAATCAGTGCATTTGCTTTATCTTTTGCATTTGAGGTTCCGTCTTCTGTAATTGCGTTAGCAAGATCTTGCCCTTGGAGGTGCATTTCCATGTCAAGGCACCAGGATAGATAATTATTTCCACTCACTTCGAGGATGTGGAATTTGGGCTTTTCAATATTTGCCATAGTTCTTGCAAAACAAATGAATCCTTAAATTAATTAGAAAGATTTCCAAATATCCACCGCCACTTCAGGAGTAGAAGGATACTTTTAGGTTGGAAATTTGGCTTCAGGCCAAGAAAAAGAAAAAAAAGAAGAATTGATAGAAGAAGATGAAGTATAAGTTGATTAATAAAAAAAAGAGAATACTTACCTTGCAAAAATTATTTACTCAATTGGTAGATCTTCGTGCTGATAACGTGTTGTAAAATATTGTGTTGCAAGAATATAATAGAGAGAATACAGAGAGATTAAGTAGAGAAAGTAGATAAACACCAAAGATGGTAGAGAAAGTCAGAGGAGAAATTTTATTTTCACTGTATATTTTCCTCTTTCATTCTCTTCTTCTGTTCTGATTTCTTACACAATGACCAAAACTAAGCTCCTATTTATAAGAAAACAAGGATGCACATATCATTAATGTCAATGTATTGAATATATACATTGAATAGGGAGATGGGCATTCATACGTAGAATGTAGGTTACGAATGTGCCATAATAGGTACATTGAATATAATGAATATTCATTCATGTATTTCATAACACAAACGAGTCATTTCTATGGTATATATATATCAAGTTGGCATCATCTCTCTCTCTCTCTCTCTCTCTCTCTCTCTCTCTCTCTCATAGAGTATATGTAGCAACTCAGTATAAGGGTTAAAAGACTAAACATATGTCAGCGAGACCTCCCTTCAAAGAACTTGAAATTAGCGTTCAAGTTATTCCTCATGTGGCTAAAACGACGTCATTTCATTGTGGAAAACCGATACTCTCTTGCTTTGTCTTCTCCTTTACTCTCTCTCTCCACAACAAGGGCGATCCTCTCTCATCTTCAGCAAACCTCAGAACTTTCGCAACTCGATAGGTTTCCACAATAAAGCAAATTTTCAGCATGATTTGCTAGCAAATATCTTTATGAATTGATACAGGAGGCAATGGCCAACAAAAGGGAAGAAGGAAAGAAAGAAAACACATAGGTTTCATTGGCATCAGAGTCAAGAATGCGTAATAGGAAGTTCGTTTGCTTTACTAGGAAAACTTTGTGAGGGAAACTTCAGCACTACGGCTTTACCATGAAAACTTCGTCTCTTGCTCACTCTGCCATCGTATCTTTACTCTCCATTGCAAATTTTGGAAAGTAATTTTACCCCAATTTGAGGAATTGGGGTTGGGGTTTTTTTGAAGAACATAAGAAATTTTGCTCAAATGGGGCAATTGACATGATAGACGATATCATTTAGGAATAATTTTGCTGACTTCGCTTTGCCAGCGAGTCACATCAGACTGTTTACATTAAAATATTGTCAAGTCAGATTTTTCAATCATACAAATCGCCGATTAAAGTGATAATTTTTTTACCAAAGTGGCACTCAAGTAATTAAAAAAAAAGTTATGCTCTCTCACAAATCCTTGGATCAATACCATTTAGACTAAGATTGACCCACAGGCCCAACTGTTATACATCTATTATGGGCCAACTGGTCATCGGCTTCTCAAGGCCAATTCCATTACTTCTGGCAGTAATGGAACACAATATACATTAGAGAGATCAACAAGCGTTGATAATGACTTGGTATAGACATTTCATGGGCAAAGAAAGGAAAATGATACTAAGTTATTGATATGGATGTCCTTTTTTTTTTGGTCGAAATTGATATGGATGTCTAAGTTATTGGATAAAGAGGGGCCATAATGGCTTGGCTGCAGCCATAATTGCAAAGCGGCGATGGTAGAGACCCGATGGCACTTGCCCTTAGGCTCCGCGACTCCACTGTTTTCCTCTTCTTCTTCTTCCCTAAATCAACGTAGGAATCAAGAGTAATTGTCCCCTTGAGTTTGAACCCACCACGACCACCTAACGCTTTTCTTGGGGATCCCATCTTGCCTTCTTCGCTTCCACCTTGATTGCACAATTTAGAGAAAGCCTAAAGTGAGTTTATCCAGCTGGTGAATGATCCTATGTTTATTATCTGTTAAGGTGAACTTTCTCGCCGTAAGGAAAGAAGAAGAAGAAGAAGAATGGCGATATGTATTACCAGGGGCATCGGGAACATGTTGAGCAGGAAGCAAAGAGGCATGATGAGCATATACGCTACCACTGCTATCACCACCCACTTTCTCTGGACGCCCTTCTTCACCACATGATGAGTAGATACACTGCCACTGCTATCACCACCCACTTTCTCTGGACGCCCTTCTTCACCATCATCGCTTTCGGACCATGCAAAATCACAATGCAATCACACTATGCGTTAACACCTAAATTTTGACTAACCATTTAGTGATTAATTGCATAAAAAATTAGGAATTAAATTTTAACCCCTAAACAAAAATATCAAAATCGCATAGCATATAATTTAGGATCATATAGTTTAATTGCATTCAATATCGGACCGGCGGCAGTGAGTAAGTTGAAAATCCATTGCATAAATCAAGCTCGAGTACCGAGCAAAGCTCGTCTCGCTCAGAAGACGGGGGCCGAAAATCACAAGTCTAAAAGGCCTTGGTTGTCTTAATTTGAGCTTAAATCAGCCCATCAAGCTTAATTAGAGAAAAACCCAATTAATTCGGCCCATTTGGAATTAAATAAAAATTAAAAGATAAAAGCCTAAGCCTAAACCCATTAGGACTAGGAAGCCCGGCCAATTAACTTAGGGTTGCGATATAAATACGTGATTATACCCCTCAGTCAAAGGGAGCTCTGATAATTCCCGGAAGACAATTCCGAAGAGCACGAAATACACGTGAGGAAATAGCGAGACTAAAGAGCAAGAGTGAGAAAGCGCCGCCTCATCGCCAAGCTGCGTTGTGCCCGTGTCGCCTCACCGTCGCGCCCGCGCCGCCTGCTCATAGCCAGACCTGTGGCTGTGAGTAGCTTGCTGCCGCCGTTGCCCAACGACGATCCCTGCTGCTGCTCCTGCCATAAAACAGTGACCCAACTCAGCGCCTTCTCATCGACGACGAAGCCGCGAAGCTCCACACGATCTGCTGCCCCCGAGGCTGGGATCCTTTGATGCCATCGACGAAGTAGCTGAGCTACTGCCCTTGACGGTCCCGTGCCGCTGTAGCTGGACTCTTCTTTGTCGTCAAGTATCCAATCCAGCCCTGCACTAGTCAAGCCAACGAGTTTCCAGTCCAATCCCTACGTTCCTCCTGGTGTGCTTGTTTTGTTGTAACGTGCCCAAAATTCCACAAGCGTCCTTGAAGTTCCTTTGGCGTGTAGTCCGGCCATTAGTCCATGCAAGATACGAAGAGAGGGAGGGGCATAAAGAAGCAATAAAAGACAGAAGAAAAATATTGTTTTTTTTCTTTCTTGCAGGTTATCCACGTTCCACCACTCCTTTGCTTTGCTGACCACTAAAGTCAGGGAGTCCGATTCCAAGATACCCCCGTGAGCCCGGAGCCTAGCCGAGCCACTCCTGACCGCCGTCACGCCCGCCATCGCTGTCGCCGCCACCGTCGATCCGTCGGCCACCGTCCTGATCCGCGATTTCGATCTGCCGCAAATTCAAATTTGGAAAGAAATCCGCAAATCAGGTAAAAATCTCTATCCGGTATATTTTCAAAATATTTAAATTCTTAGTTTGAATATTCCGTGAATATTACGTGATTGACTAGATACCTTAGGATAATGCTTGCTTTGTCCGCAATGTTCTAAAATACTCAAAACTAGGAATTATTTCTAATTGGCAACATATCTGGACGACTATCCGACTTTATCCCTAAGGTACGATACGCGGCGATACGGAAAATCGTTATCTTATCCATAATTACTCGGATATGATAATAGATTTTATTCGCTTTCCAAACTCGAACAATCAGCTTTCCGTCGATATCTATAACCCTATAGATATGACTGTTAATTTGATTTCTTTTCCTAATTCAAATTTGATAAGAAATATCTTGCGGATTGCGTGGATTGTTTGAATGCGGTTGTTATTTTTGTTTGATTATTTTTTTTTAAATAAAGAAAATTAAAAAATATGTTAGTTAGGATTTAAATTAGAAGTTTTGCATGTTTAGGGAACCCTAAATGTATCTAGAAGATAGGATAATTATTTAATTTAAATTAGGGCTTGAGATAATTTATTTCCTAGTTTAAATTAGGTGTTATTCTAATCCTAATAGATTATTTAGGTTATTTTAAGATTCCGAATTTCTATGAAAATCCCAAAAAAAATGAGTTACTTGAGGATAGATTGCATTCTTAACTTGAGTAACTTTTAATTTCGAATTTTAATAAAAAATATTTTAAAAAAAGAAGTTGTTGAATTGCATGTTATTTTAGGCATTTTTTTATTCCGAATTTCAATGGAAAAATACAAAAAATAAATCATTTGTCCGTCATTAGAATTAGGTCACGTCGTCGCATGACATATAGTTCGCATGCTAGGTTGCATTAATCGCGTGTCATTTTTTGCACGTCATTGCATATAGGTTAGTTTGCATTTTAATAAAGCGCAAACCCTAAAAAACACCTCGAGTACCTTGTTTTGTTAATTAGAAATCATATTAGGAATGTCTGTGTGATTTTCTACTAACAATGCAGATGCTTGCGTTACATTAAGGTACGTCATTTTCCTAATCTTGCAATCTATTTATTGCTTTCTTGGTGTTAAATTGGTGGTTTGCGCACCCACATAAACACCTCACATGTTAGTGATTAAATAATAAAATGGATCCAGACTGCCTGCATAAATATTTTTTGAAAAGAAAAGGTACTGAAAGGGCGTTAGATTAGATCTAGCGTAATCAAGTCCTCGAGCTTAGAATCTCTTATTCGTAGGAATAAAACATATCTCCCTATGTTTTATTTAGGTTTCTAATCGACCTACCACAAATAGATTAGTGGCGACTCTAAGCATGAAAACTTTTGTATGTTAAAAACTTAAACTCTAAGTTGCAAATTGGTAGGGCTTGGGAGGGCCTGAGTTAGATTTAGTCTTAATAATCCATTAGCCTGAGAAATTTAGGTCGCGACACTATGAAATGAGCAAAAGGATCATAGGCAAAGTCCAAAAGTGAAAGGACCAGACGACTCGAATAAATAATGTAGCGAGATTCTTCAGCCTCACTAAGAGAAAAAGACCTTGCGGAATTCATGGTGTGATCCATCTCCCTCGTGAAGACCACACGAGTTGAGTGAATTGCTTGTAGAATGTGTTGAGTTTGTTTATAAGGTTAGACTCACGGGTCAAGTGCGGATATGAAATGAATATCAATATTTCAATGGACAGGTACCCTTTATTATAATGGGTCTGGAACATCAAGCGTTCCATCAAACCGAAGTTCATCGAAAATTCTGACAATTAACCCATTAAAAAATGGGCCATCAACTTTCATATAACCAAACTAAGCACAAATATTGCCGATTTGATCAAAATATAGTCCACAGGTCATCTGAAGTCAACTCTTTCTCCAACTTAATGTTCAAAAAGACGAGCGTGCAAAAAATCATTTTTACCTTTGATGACCGAACTTGGTGGATGATATGTGATGGTGGCCATCGACTTGGATGACGACAAGCTTCCCCGACTGATGAATCATAAATCAGACGTTTTCTTTGGCTCATTCGAACTAAAGAAATGAGCCATTTCTATAATGTGTGTATGTATGTGTGTATACATATGGAGCCTATCTAGGTAAATGGGTTCAAAGTTAGATTCATGTTTGAAGAATTTGAAATTAGTGTTCGCATAATGTTGAATTCATATTTGTTCTAAATACATATCGTGCCAATTTGGATTGCTACGTCGTGTCAAACCGGTTTTATACGTATTTGTTCTCGAGGCCAACCTCTTAATCATGGAAGTAGTGGAACACAATATACCTAAGAGAGATCAACAAGCATAGACATTTCATGGGCAAAGAACGGAAAATGATATGGTCGATATGGATGTCTTAAGTCATTGGATGAGGAGGCGGAACGACTTGGGTGCGGCCAAAATTGCAATGCGGCTAGGCTGTAGACACGATGGGGCTCGCCCTCAGGTTCCGCGACTCCACTGCTTTCCTCTTCTCGTTCTTCCCAAAATCAATGTAGGAATCAAGACTAATTGCCCCCTTGACTTTGAACCCCACCACCTAGTGCTTTCCTTGGAATTTGGCTGGAGGAAGATTCCTATGTTTGTTATATACTGAAGGCGAACTTTCTTGCCATAAGAGAAGAAGAAGAAGAAGAATGAAGAAGAGGAAGAAGAAGAAGTATGGCAGTATATGGCAGTATGTATTACCAGGGGCATCGGGAAGATGTTGAGCAGGAAGCAAAGAGGTATTCGTTGGGGATGGCACTAAATCCACCACAATGACCAAATATACTGCCACTGCCATCAACACCCACTTTCTCTCAACGCTCTTCTTCTTCATCATCGCTCTTGGACCATGCAAAATCGCAATGCAGTCACACCACGAGAGCGTCGACGATGAGCTTTGGCTATAGGCAAATTCCGAAAGTAAAAGGACTGGACGACTTGAATAAGATAAGATGGCGTGATTCTTCAGCCTCGCTGAGAAAGATGACTTTGTGGAATTCAGAGCAGGATCACTGTCGTTGTCCTCTCGACTCTGAGTCTACGCTGACACATAGCTACGCCGTGTTGTGGCCCATCCGAACCTTAGGAGGATTCCTCGTCCTTGCCCTCGAAATTCTAGTCGTCTCTGGATTCGAGCAACCATTCGTGGACTTTGATTTTCTGTATTCCACCATTGAGTTCATCTCCTTCGTGATGACCACGCAAGCTGATTGTCGTTGTAATTGTGAAAGTCTCATGATCGCAACAGTGATCATAACCCTGTAATTGTCATCACTTGTGGAATGTGTTGAAATTGTTTACAATGTTAAACTTCACGGGTCAAAGTGCAGATGATGCGTGCGAAACGAAGTGTGTGGGACATCAAGCGTCCCATCAAATCGAAGTTTGTCGAAAATTCGATAAGATATACGGATTGATATTTGTTCTACATACATACCGTGTCAATTTGGATTGCTATGTAGTGTCAAACAGGTTTTATATGTGTTATAGAGAGCTGTAACCATGAGGATTGGAACTTGCGACCTCAAAAATGAGGGATACAACATGACCATTCAACTCAAAAGAGTTTACTTAACATGAGGTATAAGTAACAGAATATAATAGCTCTTGCGCTTAATCATGAACCGGCCTAGAACCAACTAAGTCGGTTTTGTGTCGATTCCAAGATCACCCTCTTCAGTACATGGTTCCAATTATTTAGAACTAAGACTTACAGGATTGGTTCCAAGTTCCAGACTTGGAAACTATCACTTCTAGTAGAAGAGATTATATTGTTATGTCAGGAAATGGGATAGATTGTCCAAAAAAAAGTCATTTTACTGGGAATGACTACATTGACAAATTTTCAAAAAGGTTTAGCCTTTACTTCTGGAAGTAGCGGAACACAATATACCTTAGAGAGATCAACAAGCGTTGATAATGACTTGGCATAGACATTTCATGGGAAAAGAAAGGAAAATTACATGGTCGATATGGATTTCTAAGTTATTAGATGGGGACACCAGGAGGGGCCAGAACATCGTGGGAGTGTCGAATATTAGGATGCGGCGAGGGCGGAGACACGATGGGACTCTCCCTCAGGCTCCGCGATTCCACTGCTTTCTTCTTCTTCTTCTTCCCAAAATCAACATAGGAATCAAGACTAATTGCCCCTTTGAGTTTGAACCCACCACCTATTGCTTGTCTTGGCAATCCCGTCTTGCCTTCTTCGCTTCCACCTTGATTACACAATTTAGAGAAAACCTAGAGCGAGTCTGTCAAACTAGAGAAAGAATCATATGTTCATAATCTAATAAGGCAAACTTTCTCGCCACAAGAAGAAGAAGAAGAAGAAGAATGCTGATGATGATGATGATGGTGATATGTATTACCAGGGGCATCAGGAACATGTTGAGCTGGAAGCAAAGATGCATTCGTTGGTGAAGGCAATAGATCCACCATGATGAGCAGATATGCTGCCGCTGCTATCGCCAGCCACTTTCTCTCGACGCCGTTCTTCACCATCATTGCTCTCAGACCATGTGAAATTGCAGTGCAATCACACTACAAGAGCATCGACGATGACCAAAGGATCATAGGCGAAGTCCAAAAGTGAAAGGACTGGACGACTTGAATAAATAATGTAGCGAGATTCTTCAGCCTCAATAAAGAGAAAATGACTTTGTGGAATTTAGGGTGTCATCCCAGTCATTGGCTTTGATTTTCTACATTCCAACATTGAATTCATCTCCCCGTGATGACTACGCAAGTGGAGTGAATTGCTTGTGGAATTTGTTGAGATTGTTTTTAATGTTAGACTTGACCGGTCAAGTGCAAATGATACGTATGAAATAAATATCAATATTTCAATGGATTGGTACGCTTTATTACAATTTGTTTGGAATATTAAGCGCTCCATCAAATCGAAGTTCGTTGAAAATTCGGGCAATTAACCCATTGAATGGGCCATTGACTTTCGTATTACCAAACTAAGCACAAATGTTGTTGATTTGATCAAAATACAGTCCACGGGTCATCTGAAGTCAACTCTTTCTCCAACTTAATATTCAAACAGATAAGCGTGCAAAAAATCATATTTACTTTTGATGACCGAACTCGATGGATGATCTGTGATGGTGGACATCGACTTGGATGACGACAAGCTTCCCCGACTGATGAATCCTGTTAGAATACACGTGTGAGTTGTGTTAGAGAAGTTCAATATCAAAAAATTGGTGTGGTTTGAAGTAGTTAATATATCTTAGTTAGTTCATAACTCATTAGCAACTTTTAAGTAAAGGTGGGTCCAACTTGATATGTTAACGGGCTCGGACTTGGGCTCTCCCTTAGCGATCTGCCCGGGTGAAGTATCAAACTTATGTTACGCGCTCCCAACAAATATAAAATTGAACATTTTCTTGGCTCATTCAAACATAAAGAAATGAGTCATTTCTATAGTGTGCGTATGTATGTGTGTATATACACATAGAGCCTATCTAGTAACTAGGTAAATGGGTTCAAAGTTGGATTTATGTTTGAAGAATTTGAAATTAGCGTTCGCATAATGTTGGATTCATATTTGTTCTACATACATATTGTGCCATTTGGATTGCCACATAGTGTCGAACTAGCTTTATATGTATTATAGAGAGTTGTACCCAAGAGATTTGGAACTTGTGACCTCAAACGCGAGATATGCAACATGGCCACTCAACATTCAAGAGTTCACTTAACATGACATATAAGTAATAGTATATGATATCTCTAACCTAGTTTTTGCGCAAAAGCCGAAACCGACCGAGAACTGATTGAATCAATTCTATGTCGATTCCAAGAACGCCTTGTTCAGTACATGATTCCAATTTTTCAAAATCAAGACTTATGGGTTGGTTCCAATTTCTGGCCTTGAAACCAATCACCTCTAGTAGAGCATATTATATCATTATTTCATAAAATGTTGCCCCAAATGGGCCAAGATAAGCAGAACGGGCCCACTGACATGAACGGAGTTTAGGTTTCTAAATGAAAATTGAATGTGGAAGCTGGACCCCGTATGCAAACCAAGATGCAGGCCCACCCAAATTTGGGCCTATTATGTTTGATTTGGCCTTAAACCACCAACAACAATTGAACTATTGCTTCAGCTTTAAAACGGAATCACCTGAAGTAGGAAAAAGTATACGTTTACGCCATATGGCTATGGCAATGTAGTATAATCGACCATTCACCATAGTTCGCGTACTATAAATCTCATCTTACTTGGCACCATATGTGTCATGGTCTCACTTTTGATTGGTTTATTACACCATGTGTCATTACCCTTTTATGTGATTGCAAATTTAGTAACACGACAAATTTCTTGAATTTACCTTTTTTTTCTTAATTTATGAATACAACCGATTGAACACACCTCATTATTGGGAGAAACCCACTCAAAAGACGTAAAGTTAGGTTATGTAATAAAGTCTCACACAAAACCCAATAGTGTCTTAATTTTACTCTATTAGAAGTACAAAAAGATACAATTGTGTATAGAGAAATCACCCTTTGTTTTGGAGACACATGGCAGTAAACCCAAACATTTGGCTATTTCCTATTCCAAAAATTTTGATTTCGTCTCTTTATAACATGGTATTACATTTTCTAGAATTTCATTGGTTGGTCTTACCGTATCAAGGATGATGACAGTCGTATAGATCCGGCTATAGTATTATTAAATCAGTTATATTTAACTAAGGCTCCATTCGTTTTGCGGAAAATGTGATGTTTTTGGAAAATATTTTCCAAAGAAGCCATTTTTCAGGAAAATGAAAATGACTATTTTTCGATGTTCGGCTAAAACCAGAAATGAACTGAGAAATATTTTCTGTCATTCGGTATGGAATATGATTTTCCTTCTTGCACTCCTTTTAATAATTTTTATTTTATTTTTTAAAAAATAGAATTTTTAATTATTTTATTTTTAAATATTTTTTATATTTCTTTTCTTTTATTTTTTTCTCTTCTTTTTTTTTTCTTTTCTTTCTTCCTCTACCGGTTGCTGCCCACGGTGACGGCCGGCAACCGCCCACAGGTGATGCTTGGCCTCACTCGCCGTCAACTCGCGAGCTCGCCAGCTCTGGGGAATCAAGTCTCCATGGGACGAGATGAGGGACGAGACGAAGCGAGAGACAGCGGCAGAGGAGGAGTAGACGAAGTGCGAGGAAGAGGCGGAGGAGGAGAGGCTCTAGAGACGTGAAAACGATGGGGAAAAGGAGCAACTCTGGAGAAAGGAGGAGAGGACGTGTGAGAAAGAGGGGAAAACGACGCGAGGGCGAGAGGGCGAGATTGGAAAATGATTTCCTTCCGACATTTTCCATCGACCGAAAGATATTTTCCTTGACCACTTATTTTTTGCCCCCGAATACCGGATATTATGAAAAATGTTTTCTAGGAAAAAAAAATTGCAAAACAAATGGAGCTTTAAAGGAGGATGAAGTTATGAAAGGGGGCAGTCAATTCTGTTGTAAATGAATGAGCCTTGAACTTGAAGTGATGTTAATATATAGTACTAAAAAAAGACGAGCTTTTGAGAAAGACCAGACATAACTCGACATGGATTAGTGCTTGATTCCTCTACTTACTGAACTTGGTAGCAGCTAGCTTGGCACTTGATGTACAAGTTGTGTAAAACTGATAACAGCTAACCTAATGACACATTTTCAGTTCAATTTGCTGCTTGGATTCAAAATTCTTCCTTTTTCATTTATCAAAATTCTTGCGGGCTGGGTCTTCTGTTTTCTTTCGGCTCGTGAATGTTTGCTTTTGTAGATATACAGGTGAGCCTATAGATTGGATAAGCATCTCTCGAAGTCCTTGGATCAAAATCACTTGTATTAGGGCAAGATTGACTTAGAGGCGCACAGGTTATACATCCTTTATGGGATCAACAAGCATTGATAATGACTCGGCATTGACATTTCATTGGCAAAGGAAGGAAAATTACATGGTCGACATGGATGTCAGCTCATTGGATGAGGAGAGGAGGGGCATGAGACCACCAGGAGGTGCACTGATTGCGAAGCGGCGAGGGCCGAGACACGACAGAAGTCCCCCTCAGGCTACGCGACTCCACCACTTTCCTCTTCTTGTTCTTCCCGAAATCGACGTAGGAATGAAGACTAATTGCCCCTTTGAGTTTGAACCGACCACCTAATGCTTTTCTTGGGGATCCGGTCTTGCCTTCTTCACTTCCACCTTGATTACACATGATGGATTTTCTTTGTGAAGATGGGCCGCCCATGATGGGCTAACCCAGCCCATGAAAGAAAATAACTGCACTTGGCAGTTATTGTCTAGAAACAAAAAGTGAGAACACACGTAAGAATGTGTGTGTGGGTTGCATTTTTCATGATCAGAAAACTCATTCTCACAAAAGGACAAAGAAGAAGGAACTTTGTTCAACAATTCAAGGATTATTCTCTCTCTCGAGGCTGTGATAAGTGCATTTAATCTGTGGCAAAGAGGTATGTTCGTTTACGTGATATACTTCGAACGATCAGTAATTCAAGTATAGAATGGGCACGTTTTTCCGCAATTTTTGTATTATATTTAGGAATCTATTTCCGACATTGGTATCAGAGCAATGTGTTCTTGTTTCCTGATCGTTTAATATGCTTATAACACGGAGTATTGGCCGGAATTCGTGAAACGGGGCCGACGAACGCTTGGGTACGAAAAACCGATACCCGGCCGTACTGTTCGAGGTCGTTTCTCGATTTCCGTGCGTCAAAATTATTTTTTGAAAGTGTAAGGTCGTAGTGCTCGTCGAGACGAGCAAAACGACGGGCGGCACGCCGCCGGGGGAGGCCGGACGCGCCTCCACGCGCCGCCGCAAGAGGCGGCTACGCCGGCACGTGCGTTGCACGTGCGCAGCGGTTGCCGCGCACACGTGCAACGCACGCGCCCTACGTGTGCGTCTGGCGTGGCTGACGTCACGCTGATGTCAGCCACGCCGGTTGATTTGGACCCGGCCCGGAAGCCTGATCCGACCCGTGACCCGACCCATGTGACCCGTTGACTTGACCCGATCATCCGTTGACCGTTGACCGGCGTTGACCACCAAAAAAAAAAAAAAAGAAGTTGCGTGGAAGCTTGAATTGGAGCGTTTTTTCGGTGGCAATATGTGCATGTTGGAATGTCTATTGTGATGTTCAATGGATTATATGTTAATCCTTTATTGTTCTGCATTTGTTGCAGGAATAAAGGCATACCATTGACACACACCGATAGTCGTGAGGATGGATGAACAAATGAATACTCTTGTGAAGTCAAAAGCTGATTTAGCTGCCTATCAGTGGGATGGATGTCACATGGAAATGCACATTATGAAGGTTAACAAGATAATACGGGATATCATCTCGAATGGATACCATATGTTGGATTCAGAAAAGATTGATGCCCTAAGAACCACTCTTCCGTATCAGTGGAAAATGCTGATTGATGATTTGTGGAAGGGTCCGGAGATAATATTTTTTGAGGATGGTGGATGGGATGACGGGAGTGATCCATGGATTCCAGAATACAAACAGTTTGCTGTGGATTTTCTAAAGGAATTCATAAGGATTTGGGCGAAGAAGACGTCAACTCTTGGGATGAACTCATCCTGGCGCAAAATAAATGCGTCATGGGGAAAACCCAAGGGATTTCCGACGGTCTTTTCATGGCTACCCGATACGACCATCGATCTTTCAAAGGGTTTTGACAA